GTGAAATTTGAGTTTCAAAATTTGATCCAGACAAACAAACAGACAAGAAAGTGAGTTAATAAAAACGTGTTAATTAATTAGAAAAAAAATGTTCCAGGGGGTGGGATTGAACTCGGACCTCTGCGACCAATTCAGTTCACCATGGGTTTTTTTCTTGGGGCCAAGGAAAACCTGCTCAAAGTTTTATTATAGAAATCTACTATAATTATTTTATTCTTTTTAAAAAATATTCTTAAAATTAATCTTTTCACAAAAGATTGCATTGTCATCAGTTTCTAAGCTATCCTGAAAGTTTCAGCTTGATAGCTAGTCAGGAAGTGAGTGAAATTTGAGTTTCAAAATTTGATCCGGACAAACAGACAGACAGACAGACAAGAAAGTGAGTTCATAAAAACTTGGTAAAAAGGTGGTAAAATAGGGGAAGGGCAAAAAACTTGAGAAATTTTCAAAAAATATGCATAATAATCAACAATGAAAGAAAAGCCTAAAACATAATACAAATGAAGAAGAAAAGTCAAAGGAGTTTTATGATGGAGCAATAAAAGAAAAGAGGTGAGCAAAATTTCAACCCACAACTTTGAACACCCCACACCCAGCTTCCCACCATTTTTTTTTTCAACTCCTGTCCCTGTATGGAAAATCCTGCCTCTGTGGGCTCCCAGACATCACTGATGCTCTCTGGACAAGAGAGGGAGAGTTAGGGGGCGGGACTGCCAGGAGTCAGGGAGGGGGGTGCCAGGCGCCTGTGCGTTTTGGGGGGAAAGTCTGGTGCATGGGAAAAATTTTGAAAAAAGTTCCACATTTTAAACTGTAATTCACTCAATTTTGAATATTTTTTCATGAAAAAAACACAAAAATTTAGAAAACTTCAGCACGCATCCAACCACGTAAAAAAGTCAAGTTTGGTGCATAAAAAATTTCAAAATGATTTTCAAACACAAACACCAGAAACTCACCTCTGAGGGAACTGGGGTCTTGGAGGCAGGGCAGGGGAAATTGAAAAAACGTGTGTACCAACTTAGAAATGGAGATAAGTAACTTTATCTGGTAAGAAGATTAGTAAAGATACATGAAGTGATATCTCAGAAGCTTTGAACTATGGCTTTGTCCTACAGTACAATTCTCTGATTTTCCGCCAATTTTTTTCGTGAGATATGGCTGCCCGTCTAATTTCTTCTCAGTGATAATTAGTTTTTTGGCATTCCTGATTGTGTTCAAGATTGCTTTCTCCGTGGTTTTCTTGAGTTCTGTGCATTAATATTTGAAAAACCAATCTTACCTAATGATGAAAACATTGGAAACCCCACTAAAGCGCCATCCCTTTGTCATCATGAAATGAATTTTTCTTTGTCTTCTGTGTCAGGGAAAACTGAGATAGAACTGCCTGACGCTCGGAGACGGATGGGAGATGCGGCGAGTTCGGTGGATGTGTATCCATTCATTTGGAAGAAGTTTAAAAGCCGGGGATACGTGACGGGTTACCTGGATGACAGACCCGAAATCGGTACTTTTCAGTTAAATCTGAAGGGTTTCAACAAGACACCCACGGATCTCTATACTCGTCCTTTGTATCTGACCCGGGAGCGACTGGGTTTGAGTCCCCGTTGTCATCACGGGAACTCCACAAATTTTGTGAGATCCGTTTTTTTTTTCGAGCGACGTTTGAGAAAGTGGAAATGCTGAAGTAATTTTATGTTGCACTGCCACTTTGAATTCTTTTTTTGTGGGAATAATTATGTCCCCTATCAGTTGTGAGTTTTGCTGTGACAAAATTGGTCATTTTGAGGTTTAATTCTTGTCATGCAAAACATGATTAACCATTGAGTTGAAGTACAGTGAGACCCTGAGATGAGGACACAATTGGTACATCAAGAGTGTCCCAAAGTCAAAATGCCCCTAATTAAGTTGAGTCTCATTTTCCCTTAGACTTACATTATATAATTTTAATTGGTGTTTAATGGACAAAATACTCACTGTAATTCCATTAAAACAAAAATTGTCTCCCAATTTAAACTGATTCAATCAATATACTGTAACCCAGAAACCAAATTGCGATTATTTTCTTTTCTCCTTATTTGGAAGGAGATCCTTCTCTACAAGGTATTCGTTGCATTGCAGCTGTTCCCCTTTTGTTTTGGTTCCCCCTCTCTCACATCGGCCCGCATTGATGCGTGACAGTCATTATTGCGTGTTTCTCCTTTTCAACTTTCTATTTGTCAACAGTGACAAATGACCTGCACTGCCTTCTTCTAAACTGCTAATTTAGAAGAAGCCTATTCTGCCAAAATCGCGAGTGTATATATGTTATTTATATTTATAATATATACCCGGAGATACCCGGATATTTGCATTCATCAAGAGTGTTCAGGGAACCCGCGGTTCCTCAATCTCGGCAAATATTTTGCCTCTATGTTCTATGTTTCCAGGAAGGTATAATTGCACCTTCCTTCCCACATATTTCCTCAGAATTAATCTAGAATCATTCTAGATCGATTTCAATAGAATCACACAAATTAATTCTAATCTTAAATTGCTTGTGTTTCCCACTTTGGTGCATTTCTTTCATTGCCTTCTTTTCTTTTCCTGTGTCTCTACACAGCAATGCATGTCAGTTTTATGTACAGGGTTACAAAAATCAGTCAAATTTCCTAAACAAGAGAACAGAATTTCTTAAACAGAGATTCAGAAATAGGTGCATGACTGGAATGCAACTACGTTTTCTGAAGTCTCATCAAATAACTGGACATCATTGAATGTGGAGAATGACGCATCATGTGAAAAAGTGATTAAAGAACATATGGCCAAACTAATTTCTCTTAAAACTGAGAGGGTGCAGAAACCATCAGTCTTGATAACAGCATCCTATATTCACATTCTGTGAGTTCCTTCATCAATAAAACCAAAATGAATATCTCCCTGATTCTCATTTTTTTGTTTCAGACAAGAGATATGTTCCGCAAATCTGATGCCATTAAAGTTCCCTGAATTGAGAAGCAAGGCAGATATTGAGGTTGAGGTATCATCAACCGACGCTTTTGTCGTGGACGGGTTTTCTCAGGCGCTTGGGACACTATACTGGAGTTCCAGCATGCAAACAGTTGTTGAATATCTTCTTACTGACCGTGGGGATTTCATCGTTGAATGTACATTCAAAGGAGAGCAATGCGCTGCTGGTGGGTATGAATCCAAAATAATTCAATATGCTTGTGCTTGGAGTTTGTGGAAGGTTTGGTTCAATTTTGGATGATTGTTTATATTCTAGCATTTTTGCTGAATTCTACGCAACATATGGTGTTTGCTTCACATTTAATAGTCAAATATGGACAACTCAGAAGGGCACTCTTCTTGTTTCTCAAACTGCTGGAGCATCTGGAGGTGAGATCTAATTTTTTTATGCTCATACCTATGACACAGTCTCAATTGAAGGATATGAATTGAACGCTTTTCAGGGTTGATCCCAAAGTTGTTATTCCTAATTGAAGGACTCATATTCAGGTATAGAGGTAGAGCAGCCAAAATAACTTTCCAATGTAAGAACCCACATTTCAGCACTGTTTCATTACTCTTAGATAAGTTTTAACAATTTTTGAATTGATGGGGAGAACAGTTCTGATTCATACGCTTAGAAATTTACTGATCTGATTTGCAGGAAATACTTTCTTGATCAATCAAAGAAACTGCATTGAATTACTTCAATTTACCAACAAAACATATGCTGAAGCAGGCCTCTCTTGACATACAGTATAGGCTTATGTGCTGTATATAATTTAACAGAAAGACTAACTTCCAGAACATTTTATTTTAATTGATACTGCAACTAATCTTGAAAGCTAAACAAACCATGCGTCAAACATAATTTTCTGAAAACAATGAGAAGTATAGGATATTATTTATAATTTATATCATTTTATATCATTATTTATATCATTTATTATTTATAATTTAGCATGGGAAGAACAGCTTGTTACTTCCTTTAACCACCATAAATCTCCCAGTTGAATGTCCAGTATATCCTTCGTTTTTAGGGGATTATCTCTCAACTTTTGAACACATTAACCTACAGAAAAATCCTTGAGTTGTCTGGGTCTTAATAATTCAAGTTTCAAAACGGATTGATTAAGCCTTGATCGTGCAGAAAAATCACTTGCTCTTTCGTGCCGAACTGATGAAGTGTTCTCGAACAAGAGGTCGCTACGAAGAAAAAACTAGCATGCGAGTATCGTGTTTCACTATCAACTTTCGAAACAAATTAACCCTTGGCACAATTAACTTTCCTTCTCATGGACTTGGCGACTCAATACGTAGCATATTCGTAAAATATGAGCAACATTTCGTCATTCTATTCAATTTAGCCGAGCCATTTCCTTTCACCTTTATACCCAGTTTAATCCCTGAATCGCTTGGCATGGCATTCCTTGAAAAAAAAAAAAAAAGGCAAGCCCAGGGCTTTTGAACCAGTACGCTTCCCTTCGGCGTGAAGTGAATTTTCGGTACGTGCAATTCTCTCAGATGAGGATTTAAGTGGCAAAAGTCGAATTCATAATACGAGGCTACCATGAAGTACAACGCGCGTGAAACACTTGGAAAGAAGACGAGGTACAGCAATGAGGATATGGATGGGCTGGGGTTAAGTAATCTTCGAAGTGCAGTATCAAAGTACGTCGCGCGGAAAGTGAAATGTCCAAGTTGCGAGGAAGACATTCATTGCACTTTTTGCTCACGAAGTGACGCAAACTCCCCCAAGTTCTCGGATGTACCATCCAGGAGGCCGAAAAGCCGCATTCGAGCTAGTTTACGAACATTTCGAAAACCGCCTGCCACCATCATTAGGAAAACCCCACAATAACGGGCGAGGAGCAGAAAATCTTGAAGGTTTCTTACTGATTCATGTACCCGCCACGGGAAGGCCTGTTGTAGCCCTGCTGATTGTGGTAGCGACGATTGTCTTCATCGTAGCCACTGGAGCGTCGGTCAACGTGGTAGGAGTCATACTGCGAACGGCTATTGCCGCGAGGTCCATGGTCCCTGGCAGCGTATCCCTTGTTGTAATGGTTGCCAGACGAAGAGTCGTAGTCCCGATCATTGCGAGAAGACCTTTGCGCGTTGCTAGATGTCTGCGTGCCGCTGCTGCGGCCCTGCTGGCTGGAACGATTCGGACGCTCCACCTGCACTGCGCGTTCCCTGGTCAGTGACGCGGCACGTTGCGGCATCACACTCGGAGTTGGCAGCAGAGCTGGAGTGATCGAACTTCGCCCCGACGATGAAGTGCTCACATTCGGAGGAGCCACTGACAACTCTATCGAAGACGATTATTGAACGAAATAAATAAAACACTGTGCAGAACTGTAGAAAGCGGATCACCGAGCTCCGACTAATCGTATCGGACTTTTCGATCAATTGACGAGAAACAACGGGCATTGGCAACGGAACCTGCCTTCAAATCAAGAATTGAAGAAAGCGGGTCGAGTAAAAATTGATGAAGAATGGCGGCCTTGTTTCTATGCTCGAGAAATCTAGATAATATGAGTCTCACTCAAACTTCACTGAAGATTTTCGAAATCTTTTACTATTCAAACGAAAGCAACTTCGATTATACCGGATAATTGACGTTCTGTTACGGGGAAATGAGAAGAAATCAACTTACCACTCATGAGGGTTCCCAGCCCAGAAGACGTGGATGACGTGGCTTCGTTCTGTATATTCGTGCCTCCGGGCACGGAGTGCTTTGGATGGAAATTCGTAAACTGGATGTCAGTTCAGCAAGAATGCGTGTCGTTTTTAAATTACGAGCAGCACGCACAGGCCTTCATTGCTGTTTAAGGACTTCGAGATTCATCTCAAATTTAAAAAATCCAATGAAGAATAAACAGGGGTTTGAAAATGTTCTTTCCAAGTGACGTATGCGGCATTACGAATGCATTACAACGAACATGATGTCTCGAGAGAATTGCGAGGAAGTATCACTGAATAACACCGGACTCTGCGAATTACGGATATATTCAATTACTGTATAGTAAAAGTTGGTACAACAACCTCTCCGAGACAGAAATTTTGGGGTTGGGATCGAGATTCGTCATGATTCCATCTTATTCACTGAAATATATGAGCCAGGACTAATTTTCAAGAAAATCCAATTAGACGTCCGCTTTTACGAATATGACCTTGAATTCGAACATTTTCAAATTTTTGATTCCCCGAATGACGGGTTTCTAGGGCGACGCTTTTCGGGCACTAACAATCGAGTTGCTCACCTGCAGAATAGCTGGATCATTCGGCAGGCCTCCAGCAAGTACCGGCTGAGGCTTCGGCGGTTGACACACGCGGATATCGCGAATGTCCGATCCTCGAAACACGATGTACTCGTAAACTTCGCTCCTTGGTGCCACAGGGCGATCCGTCGGCCTGTCCTCGGTACCCATAGATTTAACTAAAAACAAGGCATATTGATCACCGTTCGTTGACCAGAACACGCAATAAAAGAACTAACCTTTCGCCAAAGCGATGGTGCAGTCGACCGGGTCGATCGTGTATAAGATACCCTCGTAACGGATGTCCGACTTGGATATCAGGCTAATTTTACTCCCGATGAAGTGAGTAGCAGCACCCATGATGAACACCGAAACACACGACAACTCGGGAGAACAAATCCAAATACCTATTTGACGAAACAGCACAAGCGATCGATCGATTGATTCGCACGATTGCTCAGAGCGAAGTGACAACCGTAGCCTTCGATGAAGCGCATCGAAGCAGATCCACGTGCCTACTTTTTTCATAATTTTTTGAGAACCGGAACAGTTCTATTGTTACTTAGAAGTGGAATTTTTATTCATTTTCACATCGGCAAACAAGTTTGGCTTCGACTAGTTTGCTGCGGATTCATCAATTGTCCCTGAAGGAAGGGATCCGGTGACACTGCGCCCGGAATTCCGGATTTCTCGCGCACGGTTAGAAAATATAATGCCCAATACAGTATTTTATTCTACAGAAATGGTATTCAGACTTGATCTAATTGCCTCGGAAATGGACCTACAGGTTAAGGTTATCTTGTATTGCTCAAACTAGTTTTCAATGCCTCTGAAATACAGCAGGATGAACTTCACGAATTTTTCGGGCCCTGCACGAAGTACAATGTTGACAAAAAACTATTCGAATCATTGAATGTGCGTCCATATTCAGCATAAGCTTTCATTCATTTCAAGCCTTTTCAAATATTCCGTATTTGGCTGCTGCATTTCGCTCACTGAAACAAACTCGCGTTATCGACTAAACTCTTGCATAATTAATTGTATCTCGCAACCGAGAAATGAATCGATGTGCCGTCTAGCACTCGAGCTGGCGAAAAAAAACCTTTATGCTAAACTTTTGATGCAGTCTCATCAAACTTGACATTGCCGATACGTTTCTGTAATTATTTTTCTTCCGTTAGTACTAGACATTGAAAAAGCCTCGTTCGAGCTTGTGGACTGCATTCGGAAGGTCTCCTCGAAAAAAAAAAAAAACCGGCCCTACAGCTGTACGGGACTGAGTTTAATCGAAGAACTGCTTGCCGCAAAAGTGCATTTCTTGCACACCTATGAAAATACATAGCGACGAACTGGATAAAATATGAAAAAAATTAGTAGATTAAAAAATTAATCTAAAAAACCACGTTTTCAAAAAGCAAAAAATAACCTTAAACGTGGTGCGCATGGAGATTGTTGGGACGAAATGAAATACAAATGAAATAGATGCGCACCACATTTAAGGTTATTTTTGCTTTTTGAAAACATGGTTTTTTAGATTAATTTTTTAATCTACTAATTTTTGTGGGAAAAATAATATTTATCTTTTTTTGAAAACCAGTCTAAAAGTAGATTCTCATCATCTCCAACTTGGAGGAAAGTTCGGATAAGAATCTTCATGAGCTGGTTATATTCCAGTTAAAACCTCTTTTTCCTCAACCTCCAACTTGGAGGAAAGATAAAATAACAAACTTAATCAGCTTTTGAAAATGTTTGCCAAGACACTGCATGTCACCTGCTACCTAAACTGGTTTCCAAGAGAATTTGGTTTCTTCCAGCAGTGGAAGAGAGGGGTGTCATGAACACATGAAAAGAAACTATATTTTTATTTTTGCAAGATCACAGGGTTTATAATCATATGATAAATAATGAAGGTAATAACTGCACACAGAAGACAAAGTATACAAAATAAGTAAGTTATATAAAAACTGCAACAGAAAAGTCAGATAACACTGGTTTAGGCAATTATTATGTAACTTTCACATTTTCATTCATAACTCAAAAAATAGTTGTTCAAATTAAGTCTGGAAGTGAGTGAAATTTGATTTTCAAAATTTGATCCAGACAAACAGACAGACAAGAAAGTGAGTTCATAAAAACGTGGTAAAATAATAAAATGAACCAGTTTTTGATGAGAACTGGCGAGTTCGCCATACGATACCTGTACAGTATTTCACTTTACTAATTATCTTTCTATACGATCTATCTCTATGCAGATCGAAACAAACTTGACAGACGTGTATATTTATTTTGACACAGATGTCGCCACCAAGCAATTACACATCAACCATGACTATGGTCAGTTGCACTGGAGTTACAGTAGGACACTCTAATAAACTTCGCGTATCGAAAACATGATATTGTATTTAAATCAGATGGTCCAAACTACTGAGAATTCAAAATGCTGTCTATAGCAAATATGGAAATCAGTTTTTTAATCATGTCTCATTCATTAGCATTGTCTGAGAATCCCATTAGTTTTTCATATTTCGAACATTCAAGGGAATCGTTTTCTAGTAAGGAAAGATTACGGTTACTTTTTCAAATGAGGGAATTAGAAACACAGTCCATTGCCTTTAAACATCTTCCGGAGGAAACGAAGCTGTTTCTATGCTGGAAATCGCCTGTTTATACAAAGCAGGACAGCGGGTAGTACCGTGACCATTAGCCATCGGATCGGTTTTCTAATAACTGTACACTAATACGGAAAGTGCTCAAGGGATTCATAAGTTTGGTGAGCAACTGAGCACTTACGAAATAAAGGCAGAGCTGCATTATGCATTACTCAACGTCTGCCAAACATGCTTTGCGAGAAACATCAACAAAGCCCTCCATATCGCAGCGGGACACACAGCGGACGATGGTCGGCCACAGAATTAAAGTACAGTACTCCACCGTATTTACGCAGATATAAGACTTTTTTCCCGTGTTGATACTCGAAGGTCAAAGTACTGTACATCACCGAATACATTCTGTGTTAGATTCACATGTATAACGCCAGCGCATAAAATGGTCCATTATATGATGCATCATTTCCGATGAGCAGTGCTCTGTCATGAACTCATACAACACATTTCACGTACTGAGTATAAGTTGAAACCGTTATCTGAAACCTTCACGGACGTCAACCAATTCGAACTGTACTTGAGAAAATTATCCGAAAACTTTATTCTGAATATTTTAAAAATCAGAGTTATGGTACATAGAGGTGAAATTGACTGCATAAGGCAAATTTTACAGGGAAAAACAAGTCTTCATTTTTAGTTCTTCATTGCAATGGGACGATTTTGGATGCATTGCAGTACAGTATATTATCTCATTGAAAATTTTTGGGTGTCCCGCCCCCCTGTAAAACTGAGTTTGTGAAACACCGCATCGCGCCGCGCATATACACGCTTGCGTATGTTGGCTTCACCACAGTTTTTACTGCATGAACTTCAAAAATATGATTATTTGAAAAAAAAAACAATTGAAATTTATATTTTATTACAAGTAAATTTTCTATAATAAATGGTTTTCTATACACATTTTTACTAATTCATTTTCTGGAGGTCGTGAATGAGAGATCCAATATGTTCTGGGTAAAAGGCTGAGATGCGAGCCAGTGTGGCAGAAGAGCATACTTATGGTCTCCCGTATAGATATGGTATTATCTTGCGCATAGGCTGCATCAGTCAGATTGGAATACAGGTACA